TAATACTTACACTTTTATGGATGAGGAGACTGAGGTATAGGGAAATAATTATTAAGTAATTATTCTGAGAAATCAAACTTTCATATGCTAAGAAAATGATGGAATAGGGTGTGGTGGTATACATTCACACTTGCACACTGGTGAAACTGAGGTTGAGGATTGCAAGTCAGAGACTAGTCTGGGCTGCATGGTGAGGAGGAAATAAATGATGGAGAAATGGAGTTGGGCTAGTTTACTGAGACAGGGTGTTGTAACACAGGCTGATCTCAACCTCATTGTTGTAGCTGAGGATGTCTTTGGACTCCTGATTCTTGGGATTCTACTCCCAAGTACCATAGAATTACATGATTGTGCCACATCCCATCCCCCACCCTCTTTTTCAGTGCTGAGTAAGGAACACAGAACTTCTTGGCTTTATGCAGAACAGGAAAGTTTAATTCATTGAGCTGCCCACACCCTCAGTGCTGGAACTGGGATTTATCAACCACTATATACATGACTCTATTATTCTGTCTCCAGCTTAGAAATTATGACTAAAAAAGTAAACACTACTTACAACTTCTACATCTAGATTCAATCACAGATAGTGCTTTGTCATACCCTAAAATATCTTTTAATAGTCTCACGGAGTAGAAATGCAGTTCATGATAATAGTTTTTCTATTTCTGGATGAACTTGCTTTCAGAATTTGTTGCTTGTTTGTTGTTCTGATTTGTGGTGTGTTGCCCAAAATTCTGTCTTCCCCTAAGTTCAGTCTAGTGTGAAAGACTGGTAAGAGCTGTGTGGAGATGTGTGTAGTTACCAGTCATTTGGTGCTTGCTTTTTAGATTTTGGTGTCATTTGAATTGTCCTGTAGTGTGCCCTAGAGTAAGGTCATGTTGTTGAAAACAAAGCTTCCAATTATAGAAAAACTCATGTGTAGAAACTGTACCCATGTGACATTTCTGTAAAGTACTAGGCCACTTTTTGGACTCTAATTAAAGGCTTGACATTTTGTAGTTAATTTTCCAGTTGTTTGGGAGAACTCTAGTTATGCAAGTGATCTTAGGTTTATTTAAAGAAAAATTTAAATTTATCTTTCTTTTTCTTTTGATGGTGCTGGACATCAATCCATGGCTTGATATATGTCTACACATTTACTGTACCACTCATCTATATAACCAGCCTAAGATTTAAAAAAAAGATCTATTATTATTTTATTATTATTTGTATGTATCTATGTGAGAGAATATGTGTGTGTATATGAATTTGTATGTATCTGTGTGTGCAAGAGGGGGAGAGAGAGGGAGTGTGTGTGTGTGTGTGTGTGTGTGTGTGTGTGTCCTGGAGCAGTGGTTTTCAACTTGTGGGTTGAGATTCCTTTGTGAGGGCATCGAATGACCCTTTCACAGGAGTCACCTAAGACTATCAGAAAACACAGATATTTACATTATGATTTATAACAGTAGCAAAATTACAATTATGAAGTAGCAACAAAATAATTTTATGGTTGGAGGTCACCACAACATGATGAACGGTAGGTATTAAAGGGTTGCAGCATTAGGAAGGTTGAAAACTACTGCCCTAGAGCTCGAATTATAGGCAATTGTGAAAAGCCCCTGTGGGTGCTGGGAGTTGAACATGGATTCTATGGAAACAGCAGGTGCTCTTAACATTGGAGTCTTCTGTGCACCCTTTTTCTTTTCTTTCAGTCTCTCTCTTTCTCTCACTCTCTCATTTATTATGTTTGGAGACAGGGTTTCTCTGTGTGGTCCTGGCCTTCCTGGAACTTGTTTTGCACAGCAGGCTGGCCTCAAATTCAGAGGCTTCAGCCTCCCAGAGTGCTGGGATTAAAGGTGTGCACCATCACTGTTTGGCTCGGCCTTCCTTCCTTCCTTCTTTCTTCCCTTCCTCCCTTCCTTCCTTCCTTTCTCCCTTTCTCCCTTCCTCCCTTCCTCCCTCCATCTCAAGGACTGAAGTTCAGCAAACTGTGAATCATCATGCCTGGTCTAGGGTTTTAATTACTTATTTATAAAAATTAAATTATATGTATGTACATATTTTGCCTTTGTGTATGTCTGTGAATCTTTTGGGTATTGTGCCTGAGGAGGACAGGAAAGGGACATTGGATTTCCCTGGAACTGGAGTTGTAGACAGTTGTGAGCTGCCATGTGGTGCTAGTAATTGAACCTAGGTCCTCTGGAAGAGTAGCTGTTATTCTTAAGCACTGAACCATTATCTCTCTAGCCTAGATTTATAATTTTTATTACACTTACTTTTTAATTTATTTTGTGCGTTGTATCCATGCACAGGTGAATGCTACAGCACACTTGTAGAGGTTAGAGGACAGCTTTTGTGAGTTGGTTCTCTCCTGTTGTGTGTCCTAGGGGTTGAACTCAGATTGTCAGACTTGGCAGTAGTGCCACTATCTGCTGAGCCATCTCACTAGCCCCAAAAAGGTAAATCTTTGGGTTAAAACCTGTATACTACTGAATATGTGCCAGTACTTCATGGCTGATTTTCCCAAAGAGGTAAATCTTTGGGTTAAAACCTGTATACTACTGAATATATGCCAGTACTTCATGGCTGCTTTTATTTTTACCTTTTTGACTTTGTGGACACATTCTGGTGGCAGGCACATAACAGTTAAATAAATGAGGAAATTCAACTCTATTAACAGCTAAGTAGGGGCTGGGTGTGCATGTAGTTCAGTTGTTAGAGTGGTTGCCTAACATAAACGAATCCTGCTCTAGGTTTGACTCATTGCATTGAAAACTGGGTGTGCTAGTGCATTGGGAAAGTGGAGGCAGGAGGATCAGAAGTTCAAGGTCATTCTTGGCTACATAGGGAGTTGGAGAGGGTGGTGTTTGCAAACAACTAAAGAGGTCTTATTTTTTTTGAATCATATTGTCCAAATGCTGTAAGAGAAGGCCAGCTGGTCAGATGGCTCAGCAGTTAAGGGAAAATAATACTTTTGCATGGCCTGGTCTCAGTTGAGGGCACCTGTGTAGGATGACCCAACACCTCCTGCTCCATCTGTAAACAAACTACCTCCAGAGGATTTGATGTCCTTTTCAGGAGTCCACTGGCAACTACATTTGTGTGCACACTCTGCACACATACAAAGACATACTTTAAAATCAAATAATATATATATTCAAGACAAGGTCTTTTTGAGATGCTGTAGCCTTGGCTGTCTTGGAACTGTCCACCTCTGCCTCCCAAGTTCTGGTATTAAAGGGATGCAACCGCCACTCCTTCCTCCCTCCCTCTTTCTTTCTTTCTTTCTTTCTTTCTTTCTTTCTTTCTTTCTTTCT